TGAAAGTGGGGTTCCGTGGAGAGGTTACGATCAGTTATTATCTTACCTGTTGCAGATGGCTCGAGGACCAACCCCAGTTTTAAAAACAAAGGTACCATACTGATAAGCTAACGGTGAGTCTGAAACCAAAGCAGATTTCTGCCATCTTAAGACAACTCCGATCTCAAAAATCTTAAATAATAACTCACAGTTTTAAAGTGAAGGTAAAACGCCGACCGGCTGCAGAGGTTCTTGACACTATTTTATTTTCTAAAAAAAAAAAAAAAGTGTACTCACTTCACGTTTGGACAACCAGGTTTCTGTAGCTGCTTCTTCTTCTCTTGTTTAGTTGTGGTTAGATTCACTTTTAAGTTTGAGAAATGTCCTGCACCATATGAGCCAAAGCTCGTCATTATGCAAGACATATTTTGTCCATTGCTTTATAGATGTCTGTTCTGGTAAATAAATAAATGAATAAAATTAAAGCCATATTTCAAAGCTGATCTGTGGTGTCCCAGTGAAATTCAGCCTGTTCCTTATGTTTTAGTGGGTTTAATTGATTGCGTTGTTCCTGGTGTGTTTTCAGATCCTCGCACTGGATCAGGACTCGCACAAGTACGAGGTCTCCATGAACCCACATCCTACATGTCCTCCGGCAGACTGCCGCCAAGTTTTTGAGCTCGCCAACACGCTGTGAAGAAGCTGAATCTCCAGAAACGCTGCCGACCCAGGTGAGCCGTACACGTTTACTCAGCAAACGTTTAAACAAAGGTAACAGCTTCGCTAACTTATATTTGATTTGCACATTTTAACGTTTAGCTCCATCATCTATATGTGTAAACATCTCCAAATAATGCAAATCCATCGCTATAGTTTAAATTTGGTGGGTCAATGAGGGTGGGGGAGTGAAGTGGCATGATCATCTCATGTGAACCGAACCATCTCAGAGACTCGGATTAACACGAGTCCATAAAAAGAACCGGATACACCACCTCTAGTTTACATGGCTACTTATAATACGGTTATTTACAAGCACAGCTAGCTGTTGCAGGAATATGTATTTTAACAGAATAACCATGTAAAGCATAAATAACAGTTGTGTTATATATTAGCGTTAGCATGAACCACAGAAACTTTTTTTTAAATCTGAGTGAGTTTTATTAATTTTGCTCTAGGTCAGACGTGAGCAATATACGGCCCGAGGGCCAGAAGTGGCCCTTGGACAACGTCCATCTGGCCCGAATATCTTTAACTGAAAAGAAAACAACAACTATTAAATAAATTGATGAAAACCTGCATTTTATTAATAAAACTTAAGGATGTCTAAATGAAAATATCTTGGACAAATACATCAAAAATCTTTGGATTAAGAAAGGCTCAAAACATTTTTTTTTTAAATCATTGTGGTTATAGAATTAGACAAAACCTGAAAATCTCCAAAAAGCAAACGTATAACTTTTTTCTAACAAATTTATTGTCACAAGAGCCAGTTTACAGAAAGTATGTACGCCTTATAAATAGGGATGCACAATATTGGATTATTCGCCGATATGTTAAAACTTATTTGGCTGATAGCCAATACTAATACCAATATATTTTTCCCTAGACCTACTTACAGAGAGACGACATAGCTTTCTCTGCTGTGGAATTAAAATACTACATTATTCTGCATGGTCTTTGTCAATTTAGCCTGCTACCAAATGCAGATGCCAAAAAGGGGTCTGAAAATGATGTAACACT